TTAATATACCGTGATTCAAAGAAAGCTCCTTTTAGAAAATGGAATTATTTGCTTTAGCTAAATTTCTTCCGTTAGCTACTACTTGATTTTTGAGAATAATGAAAAAAAAGCACTTGCTGAAAGAAGTGGAAGAGACGCTTTCAGCTTTTAAAATTTTTTTTAAAAATTTCTCAAAAAATGCTTAGAAGACTATTTTTTAACTTCAGAGGTAATTAGTTCATGCGATTTTTCATAGTTAGCAATAAAGTTTAAAGCTTTCTCACGTTTCGTTGACCGAAAATAATTTACGAAAGAAAACAGGTATTTTCAACACCCTGTACCAGAAAATCAAACAAAAGACTTATAAATTGGGCTGATTAATTTGGTTTTCATTTGAAATAACTGCTTTATATTTTATAATTTTAGCCTAATTATTTATGAAAATATATTCATTTTTTATTTAAAAAAAACTAAATTTTTGCCTTACGTTTTTTGCTATAATTTTAAAAATATTTAATGAAGTTAAACAAAATTTCCGGATCAATCAAAAATTAATTACAAATTATTGCTTTTAATATTTGAAAAGATATTTTAAAAAGATATGACTGTTTAAAAGTATTACTTTTATACCGCGTATGAGCAAAAAAAAAATAACAAAAATGTTTTTTAAGAATTTTTTTAGTGGATCCTATTTGAGAACTAATAAAAAAATCTGATTTTAATGTCTTGAAAATTACATTTTGAAATCACATCTTGAAAATTTTTCATAGGAATGGTTTCTATCAATTCCATTTTGTACCATAAGACAAAAATTCTATAACAAATGATAATACCTTACAATAATCTTCCAGGCACCAAATTCTGATGGTATAAGGAAAGAAAACTGAGAAAAGAAATTATTCCATATTCTTTCCACGATGACGGCGGCATTTTTAATAAATCTTGCTTAATAGTACAAAATGAAATTTGTTTAAAACCCCATATAATTTTGAGTTTTTTTAAAATTGCGAAAACTACTTAGAAAATTACTTGAAACTCTTTAATTTTCTTAAAATACTCAAGTCAGACATTTTTCATCAGTTGCCAAATAAAATTTACTACAAAATTGCGAAAAATATATTTTTTAAAATCATTCTGCGCATGTGCAGTATAAAAGAACTACTTTAAATAGGCATATCTTGAGCAATTTGTAACGATTTTTTTTCAAGTTTTAAAATAATTAGTTTGTAATTATTTTTAAATTACTCAAAAAATGTGTGTAATTTTATTGAATATTTTAAAAGTTACAGCAAAAAAGTAAGACAACAAATTAGTTTTTGATGAAAATGTCCATAGATCTGAAAGTATTTAAGCTAGGTTTATGAAATTTTTTGCAGTCATTGCGCAAAATAACCAAAGTAATATGTGTAAGTTACGAGTTTATTGCTTGATTTTCTGTCATAGGGTGTTTAAAAATACTACGTTTCCTTCCCAGTTCATTCTTGGTTCATGAAACCTCTAAAAGTCTTAAACCCAAATGTTAAGTAGGGAAAATCACATGTGTGTGATTTAATTATCTCTCTGAAAAATAATCCAATTTGTGTTTCTTGAGAAATTTAAAAAAAATCAAATGCTGAAAGTGGCTATTTCATTATTCTAGGGTAGCGTAAGTCCCGTTGGATCTAAATGGGTTCAGCAGGCTATTGTCTACTGAACAAGGATTATCTTATTTTTATCAGATATACACCGAAGAGCCATTACATTATGACCACCCCTGTTAATGACATGTAGGACCACCTTTAGCCCTCAAAACTGCTAGCATCCCCCGTGACATTGATTCCACATGGTGCTGATAGGTAGTCTGATTTATCTGGTACCAAGCGATTACCAACTGGTTTTGCAATTCCATCACATTGCGAGGGGGTAGCATGGAAGCACGAACGTGGTTTTCCAAGTAGGACCACAAATGCTTTATTGGATTAAGGTCATGTGAATTTGGGGGCCAAAACATGACTTGAACCAATCCATGACGATTCGTTCCCTATGGCATGGTGCATTATCCTGTTGGTAAACACCATCCCCCGCAGGAAAAACTGTTGCCATGAATGGGTGAGCCTGGCTTGCAACTATGTTCAAATAGCTTACAGACGCCAGGGATTGTGTTCTATGAGGATTATGGGTCCTAATATGCCCCATGAAAACATTGTTCCTGGGCGAGAAAACATGAGAACCTGGGTGAGCCCATTGTTACAGATGGAGGGTGGTCATAATGTAAAGGCTCTTCGGTGTATATCTTAGAAGAAACTGATGATTCTTAATGGAAAGAATGAAAGAAAACAGTGTATCACAAATACTACAAGATTTTATTTTTTCACCGAATATTTACTCATCAATTACCAAACAAACTGCTATAGTTTGAAAGAATTTTAAATAAGTGTATATATAAGTGTATAATTATTATTTTGTATTAACCTTAAAAATAATTTCATAATAATCTCACAGTTTCTTCTGTACCAAAATATTAATAATGATGATTATAAAAGATTTATAGTTAAAATTTTTAATAAATTAACTTCTAGCATTTCATTTTTGTTCATCATTTCCTAAAAATGTAAACAAAAAGTAAACATAAATTTGTTCAAAGAACTAATAATAAAATAAATAAAAATAATAAAAATATTTTAGCTTATCATAAATAGAACTTTTAAAATTTATTGGCAGTTAGATCTATTTAGCACTTCTCCTATCTTCAAGAATTTTTTTCGTAGGAAGTCAAAAATAAGGTTAAGGACTTCCTTTGAAGAAAAAGATTTCCATTGTGACTTGTTTTATCTAACCTTTCCTCCTTCAAATTGTCGAGCAGTCTTTTTCACTTGTCACCTGTCACGTGAGACAAGCGATTCCTCAATTGTAAGCACTACCCACTAAACTAATGGAAAGAATTCTTTTGGATAAAAGAATTTCGGAGGACAAGTTCCACATAAATACCAATTTAATGGGGCAAATTTTTTCAAAGAATTTGATTCAGGCACTGAATTGTTAACAGCACATTAATTTTCTATCAAGAAACCGATATAGTTACAGATATATTCATTAGAATTTCAGTAAAACGTGGTAAAATCTTTCAAAATATTATATATATATATATATATATATATATATCCGGCCATACTGGCTTATAGATGTAGACTCTAAAATGTTTTCTTGTTCTTAGGCTGTCCTTATTTATTGGCTATCAAAGATATGAAAATTAATTTTGATTCAGCTTATAAGTTTACTTAAGATTCATGCAAGAAAAAACAATAAGGATTTTGACCAATAGTAGCACAGTTCTGTTTCGAAAAGATAATCTCTATTTTTACGGTATGACTGGGTCCCTCTTGATGTATGTTTTTGCGAAGGCTAAGATGCAGCGGAAGAAGAAGACAACTGCATGCAAGCATGAACAAAGGTTTGATGGATCTAGAGCACAGTTTTTGATGAAAACTTTATTCAAAGCAATTAAAAGCCTTATTTTCATATTTTGTAGAATTTTTGAAGTCCCTTTAGGCAAAATCGTAGTTTTTATATTAGTTTCAAAGAAATTCTCAGTACTTATCTTAGAAGAAAAATTATCAAGCACTATGCAAGGAATTTTGAACTGGCCTCTGAAGTTCCGAGCTCCTGGACAATTATCCCCCTCTCCCACGCTTCTTTAGCTTGGCCTTGACTGCGCAACATGCTAATTACATGCACTATTTTCTTAAATTACTAAATAAAATCGAAGTCCCTGAAATTCAAGTATTTTTAAATTTCCTATAGCAGTAACATATGTATCCAGTTTTACCTTACTAATGAATTAAGACCGGTCGATTTTGCATTTTTCAGAAGAAAAAAAATTATAAAAAGATGTAGTAAATTTTTTTTATTTCCAATGGCAAGACAAAAATAAAAATAAATGAGCAAGAACAGAAGTAAAGATGAGACAACAATAAATTGACCGAAGTCATTGCCTCATAAGTTCTCTGGCCTTCCAATAAAGCCCAGTCTCGGAGTCGCCCTTAAGGACTGCACAGTGGTGGAAGTGGTGTCTATCCATAGGGATATTAGAGTTACAGAGGGGGCAGTAAGGGCTTGAGGAGATTCGAATACGGTGAAGGTGATCTGCAAGGCAATCATGTCCTGTTAGTAAACAAATTGGGCCACAGCGTGTCGACGTGGACTGCCAGGAACCCTCAAAAGCTCTTCAGCTTTACAGTGCTTAGATTTTAATCTGTTATTTATTTGTTCACTGAGATGTAGTACATCAATAACTTATTTTCAGCAAATGATATGTTGTACATAACTACGCAATTAATATCCTTATTAAAACTGACAGGTTGAACAGGTTAACACCAGTTATCGAATCATAGCTAACCAGTATTACATCACTTTCCCCTACTAAAATAAAAATAAAAATGATTCTTCGATTATATAATCTGGATTATGAATGAAATTTTAATAAAAGACAAATATTTAGTGTCATTATTCAAACAAATTATACTAACCATTTATTCGTTAAACCATTAAAAAGGAAATAAAACTAACATAAATTTTGAGAATAATTTAAATATTTGAAAGATATTTACCATTATAATTCTTTAAAAATATTTTAGCCACTTTGAATTCATAAAAGAAGCATTATATATTCTCCTGACTATCCAGATAAATTAGTACTGCATTTTTAAACAATTACAACTAAAAATCAATGTTTTAAACTACTTTAAAATTTGTGTATGACATTTTAAAATTAAAGCATGCATATTTTTTTTTCTTTGAAATCAAGCAATGAATATAACAAAATTACAGGCAGGCAATACTTTTAACTCAAAACAAACAGAAAATTGTATGGAAATTTCCATTTTAAGTATTTTAGAAAAAAAAATGAGCGATTTTATCAAATAAATTTTATTGATTGAATATTATCAATTTCTACTTTACGCAGTCTTTTGGAACAATCTTTATCCCTTCATTTTTGTTTCTTTATGTTTCAATGAATTAAAATAATACGAAATTTATTTCAGTGCCTCCTGGTAATCCCATCATTAAGGATATGAACGGTGAAATACTTAGTGGCATTGTTGGACCTTACAATGAAGGAGAGGGTCTGCATCTTATCTGTGAAACAGAAGGAGGTATGTGAACTAAATTTTTAAACTATGTTATTTTATCCCCAACCCTGATGTGTACCGTAAACCGGGGCGAGTCTACTCATCCAGGGGCGAGTCCACCCATTTTAGTTTTATTTAATTTTCACTANATGAAATAATGAAATCTGAATCCATAGAAGAAAATGTATATTTATTTGAGAAATTATGTTTTTGTGTTTCATTTCATAACTTAAAATATGGTCTGCTCATATTTCGAATCATTAAGATCAGGGCTAAAGAGAAGAGAGAAGGGCTAGTTCATTCCTCTCTTAAACCAGAAGCTACGATTTTCCTCCTCGTGAGGTCGCGCCGCACACGGATCTTGGAAATTGCAAACAAAGATATTGGGAAAACTTTGCATCATTCTCTCTGTAAAAATAAGTTCGAATATTTCTTAATATTACCTTTCAAACACAATTAACACATTTTATCCGTTCAAAAACATAGTTCAAAATTTTTTTCTTCGCCATAATTTTAAAATAAGTACCATTTTGAACTAATAAAAATTTTTACTGGTTGTCGTACATTACGCTATAAATACTTTATTTTAAAATTTTCAGTTTTAACTCTTGTGTATTATTTTAAAAAAAAGGAATAAATCGACACTTTTTTAGTTACATATTGTTTGATGACAATAATTTATAAAGTTGGGTTAAATTTAGAATCCTGATTTCAAATCAATTGTTTATACTTAATCATTAAGAAACAACAACCTTAAACGCTAATTACTGAAAGAAAATAATTTAGGTTCATAATAATCTTGGAAATTTCACAATAGCTAGTATCGTTACGTAATGAGGCATATCAGCAAAATCAAAATTTTTTGACGATGGTCGGTTGGTTAAATTTTCGGTTGACGGATGGTTAAATTTTCAAAAAATAAACTGATTCAATTGTTATTTGGAGATTCTTTCTAAGTGTCCCACATACTCCTCGATCTGAAACAATTGCTTTTAGATCGATTTCAATTATTTCCAAGCTTTATATGACTTTGAAAAGTAAGACTTTATTCATTGTAACTTCAAAATCGTAAAAAATTGGTTGTTTCCAATTTGAAAACAGTCCTCTTATCAAAACTAGTTGAACTTTTTTGTAAAGTACTTAGGATTTGATCAAGTCCAGCATCATAGCAAATATCTGTGGAGAAATGCATTCAATGAAAATTAAGGACACGTATTTTTTTAAGCCACTTAAATTTTCGGCACAATTTTTAATCAAATTTAAAACATCTTTCTGTTAGCCTGGAGCACAAGATAATTTTGCGTGACATCGCTTACGTACTAGCAGTTAGTAGAGGTAGGCCAATTTTAAATTACCAAAAATCATATGGTTTTTGAGAAAGAGAACGTATAATCGTGAAATGTCCTCTGTTGTCCATCTGACATTTGAATTAAAGATTGTATTTAACCTCTTGTAAAAACTTTTTTACAATGTTTACTAAATTATGCATTCTCTTAAAAACTTGTTCCAATTTCAACAATTCCCTTCTCTGCTCATAATTTTTTTTCTGGATGCGTATCACCGTTTCATACGCTGAACTGATATTTTTTTAAACTTCTTTTCTCCATTATTTTTATTTTTCAAATCCTTTTCTGAAATTTCAATTCTGTCTTTTAGTACTTTAACTTCATAAAATTTCTAATTTAAAGCATTTATCACAATTTGTTGTACTTAAAAAAATTTCGTTCATAGTATTTAAATTGCTTTTCTTTGGGCATAGAGTTTTTAATTTATCCAATGCACGAGCCAACACTTTGAGTTTATTCAATCTTTCTTGACAAGAAGAAATTGTTTGTAAAGAAGAAAAAGGCAAATTTACTCTCGGTATTGCAGTAGATTTTAAAATCATTCTAATTGGCAATCCAAGCAAACGATTTTTAATATCATCTTCATAAACTTTCAAGAAATGCTTACTTCATATTCGTGCGTATTTCATATTAACTGGTTCATTTTGCTTGCTACTTTGAAGCCATTCCTTACATAGTTGTTCATTTATTTAAATGAACACATAGAAAATTATATTTTTTCCTTTTGTTTTTCTATCAGAAGTTGTGCAAGTTTCAATTGCATAAACAGGCATTTCGTTAATAATTTAAAATTTTTGTAATTCACTTTGAAAAACTAAGGAAAATCATTATAGAAAACAGCGAGTGTCTTGGAATATATCACGAAAAGGAAAGCTCCAATATTAGTTAGAGCTAGTTTGACCGAACTCTCGGTTCTTGAAATAAAAGACGAACTTTGTGCCTTCGTGACGTCACAGGCGAAAATCTGAAGTTTGGTGCTGAGAGAGTTCCTTCAAAGGAGTTTACCAGCTCTTATATTTGTCTTCTATTTCAATTGCACGAACTGGCATTTCGTTAATAATTTTAAATTTTTGTAATATAATTTAAAAAACTGAGGAAAATCATTATAGAAAACAACGAATGTCTTGGAATATATCACATTAAAGAAAGCTCCAATATTAGTTAGAGCTAGTTAGACCGAACTCTCGGTTCTTGAAAAAAAAGACAAACTTTGCTCCCCCGTGACGTCACAGACGAAACTCTCTCCGCGTTTGGTGCGGAGAGAGTTTCTTTAAAGAAGTTAACCAGGTCATATATTCTCTCTTTAGCCCTGCATTAAGATTGAGTCCTAGAACTTAAAGTTACCGGAAATTCCGATTATTGCATCGAAATTTATTCCTGGTTGTCCATTTATTTTTTTATCAAACTGTACATTTAAGGACAGTAATTATGGAGTAACGAGTATATTTTTTTTAACTACTCCATCGTTGATCTCTACCTACTCCGTAAAAAAATCCGGTTGAAATTACGGTATGAATTACAGTCAATTTAGGGGCATAATCCGTAAAAATCCATTTTTATTGTACGAAATTATACCATAATTTTTATCGAAACATTTATTAAATAGGGTGATTCAGTGATTTTACGGTTATTATTTCTGGAAAAATTAAGGTATATCAGATGTTCTGTTCCGAAACATGATTCGGTAGAAATAGACTTTACTTAAAAAATGCTGGCTCCTTGACTGGTGGTACTTTTTTTTCTGTAATTTGATCCTAAATTCTTTACAGTGTAATAATTATCACATAAAACTATATGAAAGATAATCCTTGCCCTTCTATTTTGGCATTATTTTAAATGATTCGTTTTGCTCGTTCGTCGTCATCATATAATTTTTCTTTTTACAAAAAGGTTAAGAAATATTTTGAAATCAACATTTCAAATTTATTTTTATACAGAATAATCATAAAGTTCAGTTGCAACAAATGAGTAAAAATGAAATAATGAGCTTTAGCTTAAAAATGAGAAATCTTAACTGTTTACATATTTTTGAAATTTTTTATATAAACAACTATTTAACTTTATAAATAAATGCATTTATAAAAGAAGCTCCATTTTAAAATATTTTTTTCTAATATCTGAGTGATTATTTTGCGTTATTTACTCATATCATTAGCATATCAACATAAATTTTGGTAATTTCTTTAACACGAATTCAGAAGCATGAGTTTTTAATTTGAATTTATTTCGTTAATTTTATTACTGATAAAAAATTTCAATTTACGTAATTAAATATTTTCAAAAATAATTTTAAAATATATTTTAAACTTATAGTCAAATAGAGCGTGAAAAACCTTCGATGATAATATCTTATGTATTAAGGACAATACTTAAGACATACGTAGACATTTTGAAACTTGCAAATTGTGTACGTTTTCTCAAAAAAAATATTCAAACGAGTCTTTTTAATAACTATTAACTCTAACAGAACTTTGTAAGTATAAGCATAAAGTTATAATATTTTATTTAAAGTCTATTTTTGCGTTTGAATAAGCTGAATAATCTATATATTTTGAAAAATACTTTCCTCCTTTTGGAAATAATGAACACAAAAAAATGATTTTATTCGTTATTTAAATTGTTTCCAAACCTTTACTTGCTTTTGATTTGCAAATGCAAAGAATTATATTATTTCAAAGCTACTTATTTCGAAAAAATAACTACTATTACTACTAGCTATATAATGTGCGTTTTATATTTGGTAGTAGTAGTATCACTTACGAAATATTTATGCTATCAATGTATTTATTTTTTTAAAGTGAAAATATAATGTTTGTATATTCTTCTTTATTATTTCACAATAATTTATACTGGATTTCGAAGTCTAGTAAAGTAAGTAAATGTAAAGATAAAACTTGTTTAATGCAAAGAAAGTTATCCTTAGGGAATAGCTCATTTTGAGTACGTTTTTGCGTTGAGATCGTCCCTTTAGTTGATTGAATTTGAATATAATTAAAATTTATTTTTTACGTTGTCAAAATAACCAAAACCAATATCGTAATAACAAATAATATTTTGTTGTATTCCATATTTTAAAAATTTATAGCTTTACTGTGAACTTAAATATTTATAAGCGTTGCATGTGCAAATAAATATTTTAAAAATGTATAGCTTTACTAAGTACTTTAATATTTTTGAACATTGCATGTGGCAATGTTCACAAAAATATATTTTACAACCTTGGACTATTACACATAGCTTAAAATATCTGAGGAGTAAAAAGTACACACTTTTTTGGTTTTGTTTGGCAAAGAAAAAAATTTTAAAAAAAAACCATTTCGCTTAAAGAAATTGTGTATTTATCTTTAAAAAATGATTTGGTTCTTATCTATTTTAGTTATATTTTAAATGTAAGCACGTTAAGGTTTTATTTTCCTATCGAATTTATGAAAAAATTACTCATTATTAAAATATGTAAAGTAAATAATTTTTAGCTCTTGCCTTAGAATACAGGAAATTGTCATCAATATAGACGGCAGAACTTTTTGTAACATGTGTTGACTACTACGTTCTGAATACGAAACTCTCCCACTTGGTAGGAGAAATATTTGCTCGGGTCTAAATTATAAGCGATCAATTTTATGATTATCCCCTTATGAGTTTTATATTAATTCCTTCGTGATATACTCCTTGGAACATGAAATTCATGTAAATGAATTTATTAAACACAAAAAGTGTATCAGCAAAGTATGTTTAAAAAAAAAGAAAATTAAAATGTTTAATGCATTTAAATATTTTGAGTAAACAGAAGTTACAAATATTTACTAAAGTAATACACAAAACATTTTTCAAATACTTTTTAACCGCATTTAGTAATTTTATTGAAACATTGAAAATTAATAGCATTTTTGATAACGCTAAAACTTAATTATTTAAAATATAATAACAAAAATGCATTTTATAACAAATTTAATCTTTCTCTACACTCCGTTGTTACATGAATAAACATGTGGAATTAACATGGTAAATAAACTTTTATGTATACTTACGGAGTTCTTCTTTTTTTTTGCCTGGTTTGTATTTTTGGTTTAAAACTATATTTTTATATTTAAACCATATTTTAAAAAAATCTGTGCTAAAACTTTAAAACTATATTAAAAAAAACTAACTAATATATTTATTAGATTAAATTTCTCTTTGATGTATTTACTTCCAAAAATCCCCTCTAAGGATTGTTATAAATATATTTGATGTTTTTAAATCTCAAATTAATAACCTCGATTTTGTCTCTCCTATTTTTGCATTATTATTATTAACATTTTTTAAAGTTTCCAAGCAGTCTAATTAATTGCATATTATTTCGTAAACGTTTCAGTCGATTTGCTCAATATTTATATTCATTTGCATATTATTGTTTCCAGGCAAGCCCTCTCCATCTCTATTGTGGTACAAAGGTCGCAATGTGATCGATGACACTTACGAGATTATGTCACCTCTCGTCATACGGAATGAACTTGTTCTACCCACACTCGAGAGGCGTGATCTGATGGCTACTTTTACATGTCAAGCAGTCAACAACGATATATCGCCACCTGTTCAGAGCTCCGTTAGTCTCGACATGAATTGTAAGTGTTCTAACTAATTTAAATGCAGAATAATACTAACTTACATTTATTTATTGGTAAACTTTACAGTATATCATAGTTCATTTTTTAAAGTATTATAATTAAGCATTAGAAGGCTTACGGTAAAAATTTGTGGATTAAGTTACGATACAAAGTACAGTCACTTTCACTGCATCATCCTTTAAACTGCAATTTATTACCATTTTACCGTAAAATATTATACCGTACATTTTAAAGTAATATTTAGTCAGTGATTCAGAGTTTCTACAGAGTTATTTTTTTGTCAGATGTCCCGGTATGAAAGATTGTTTTGTTCCTCAACATGTTCTGGTAAAAAAATGCAGTTTATGGTACTGAGTACTGGTACACTGAGTGCCGGTACTTTTTACCGCAACTTGATCCTGATTTCTTAGAGTAAAGTGTGAAGTTAACTACATGGAATTTCCACCTATTCAGATTCTGCTTATGCAAGATAAATGGAAGTTAAGTTTTAATTACATAACATAATTTCAATGTTTAATAGAAAAATATTTGAAATTAGCATTTTGCAAAATTTAACACCAATTGGTCAAAAGTACAGTTAATATCGTCAATTCTCGAATTTACAGGGCAGATTTGTTGGTTACTCTTTCAGGGGCACATATTAGGAGAGTCAACATTACTCCTACACTAAGGACAGATTGTACAGAGAATAAAAGATTATCGTACCTTGCCCGGGATCTAAACCAGAACCTTTCTGATGCAAGGCCCACCCCTTAACCCCTATACAGTCCGGTCGGCCATAAAAAATTAAAAATAAGTAAAAATCACTTTTAAGTACAACACATCCAAATTCACTTTTTGAGATTTTTGAAATTTAGCCATACATATATCTCATATTAAAAAACTATTTTTAAATAAATATTATTCAATACTTTTTCTTAATATTTAATATTTCACAAGAAATTCCGTTCGAAAGAAATTTTAATTTTTTTTTATTCGCAGGAAAACGTAAGACTATAAAGTAAAGACTTAAAATTACATAGTTACACAACCCGGAAAAAAATAAAACGAGTAAATATATCTGATCTTACTAATGAAATATTTAGGATATAATTATTAGATACATTAATAATGCATAAAATTTAGGTGTATTCGATATATTTAATCTTAAATATTAATGACTTTCTTAATGACTTAAATATTAATGACTACTCATGACTTTTTATTATTATTATTTAGATCATTTTTTTATTAATAAATAAATCTTGAGTTTTGATTTTGGAATTTATTTTATGAAATGGAAATGGTTAAAAGAATAACAAATCTAAAATAATTAAATTATTTATGAGTATTTATACTTGTTAATTTAAATATGATTCATATGGTTTTGCCTGTGCATTTTTGAATTGATTTTAAAACATCTGATAGAAATATATTTTATATATCTTCTTTCACAAATCACCATTTGTAAACGCCTAGAAAAAATCAATATGGATGCTTTTTTTTAACAAAAATTGTGTGTGCTTGTTAACAAGGTTCCAAAAACTGATATATTTATTTCTAAGTCGCATTTTTTAACATATTGATTTTATCACCAAACAAGCAGAAAGCCATACGCAAGAAAAAAGTTTGTTTTTTACTTTTTATTTTTTTCAAATTACTTTATTCATTTATTATTTATTTACTTATTATTTTTTGACATGTAAGTTTATTTACGTTTAAGTTATTAATAAGTTTGATTTAAGATTTTGTCCTTCATATTTCTTTTAAATATTATGTTTTCATAAAATAATGAAAAATGGGAATTCTTGTTAGACTATTACTAAAAATAAATTTCTATAATTAGTAATAATGACACCTATTAGTTTGTAAATTTATGTGTATAAGTAAAGAACACACGAGTAATTATTATAAATAATGACCAAGGAAGTTTTAAAACCAATTTTTTTAATATTTTTAGTTTAATTCCTTCAACGTAATTCTTTAAACATTATTTTATTATTCTAATGAATATTAAATTAGTTAATGTTTCCGTCATTAGCTGTTTTGTTATTTATCATTCTCTTTTATTCTCGCACAAGGCATAAATTTTGCTTAGATTACTTATAATTATTTTCGAACTTATACTTGCTAACTATATATTAGAAAAAAGCTTATTTACTTTAACTCAAAATTGCACTATGCATTTTAAACATTTTAAGAATTGCTTAGTGTTTAAGAGCGACTGTAAACATTACTTTTACTCCGTCAGAATTTTCTTTCTTAAATTACGGCAAAATAATCGGTTGCAATCTGTCCATTCCATTAACCATAAAATTTACGATAAAGTATATATTTTTACTTTTACAGATTTGAAACAGTTTACAAGTAGTATACTTAAAAGACACTGGATATAGCTTTTAAGCATTTGCAACTAGTATGGTTTCAAAACCGTAAGAAAGAAATTTAGTATCTGGATATTGTATCAAGGCTTTTCATTAGGTAATGGTTATTGGAGGAATGCTGTGGTTGACTTGTGTTTTATCAAATAAACCATAGATTACGGCTTAATTTGTTTATCTGGTGGTGCCATCTATCGTTAGGTATGGCAAATACTAGACTCTTTGTGTTAAACAGCTTTATGATGCTTCCATGTATGCGGAAATGAAAGTGTCGTATAGACGTAAAAGTTTTACAAACATATGAGTCTTTGATTTGAAAAAATAATAACCTTTAAATTTAGCCATTTTATCTCCAGACGTAAGAATCTGAAATACAATAGAGACATTTCTAGCGTATGAAACAAATCCGAAATAAGCAATTGCTTTTAATTTAAGTAAAGGCATTTTAGCTTTTCGTATGTAACCTACACAGTGGAATGAAAAATTAGCTAATGACTGCATCATATAGACTTAAATTTCTTTTCATTTTTCGGAACAATAATTCAGAATCTGGTGGATAGAAGGTTTTGCGCTCGTCTACAAGAAGAACTTATGTCTTTATGTCCTTAAACAATATTTTTAATTAAATGTAAGATTGTTCCATTAAATAAGCTAAATCAAATCTATTTTGAAAATATTAAGAATCTCACATTATTCAGAAATTTAAACAATATCTTTAATTAAATACAAAATAAACTTGCAAGAATTTTTGTAAAAGTATGGACATTAGGTAAATTACGTTTTCCAAAAAGATTTAATAAATTTCTTGTCAAATTTCTATGCAATATTGTGTTGATTATATGTAATCTATGGATATATTTTAATCAAAATTACACATGGTTTGAATAAGCTTTTATTTATTTATAAAAATCATTGCTATACAAAAAATTTATAATGCATCGATCAGTAAAGCTGATTATGCGATAAAAAGATAATATTTTATATTTATTTATTAAGTGTTAACTAAAAAATAATATTCAAAATTCTTCTTCGTTGTTTTATTTGACAATATATTCATTGATATTGTACGTAAATCCATATATTTTATCATGTGATTGACTGATGTGTTTACGCAGAATAACATTTTTCATATCTTTATCTTAAGCAATTGAATTGATGTCTACTTAATTTGTAAATTTAAAATACCAATGAAAAATGTAGCTATGCAAATAAAGGGACTATAACAACATTGTGATAAGCCATACTTTCACAAAGGTGATATTTTGAGGTCAAACTGAGTTTTAGTACGATTTCCAGATAGGCACTGTAAAAGTTTCCTGAATCTCAATTAGGTGACTGTTGTCCAGTACAAATAAACATTTATTGCTTTATCCCCTTCATTAAACTCTTTATGTGCTACTTGAAACTTACTTTCTAGAGCAACTTATTTTTATATTTCCGCATTCCTTCAAATATCATACATGCTTAAACCAACGTTAAGTATATTAAAAAAAATTATGAAAATGATATCAATTCCAAAACTCTTAGATGTTGTGAAAGTCGATTTTTGTTATTATTCTGTGAAGTAATTGCGTCAAAAAATAAACCTTCATAGTTTTTTGAATAAAGTAAACAAATAATTAATTTTTAAATTTAAAATAATTCACAAAGGCTCAGGAAATCAGCCGCTTTGCATATCATTGAATAAAATTAAAGCAAACGAAAATATATCCTTTTAAACATTCTAAAAAATTCATTTTATTTTTCTCCAACTTGAACATGCACTTTCCCTTTTTGCCATTTTTTCTTGGTTCAATAGCTCTTCAACTCTTTTTTTTTTTCGGAAGACAAATTTAATTTTGGAATAGGAAAGAAGAAGAAGAAAAACAAAAACATGGAAAAAAGGAGGATCGAAAAGTTTTTGCAAAGTCACGACTTTGCGTTTGTATTATTCCTGTTGTTCCTTCGGGAAACGAGGCGTGTTTCCAATAATCTGAGCTTGAAAAGAAGTCGGAAGATAAGTTAAAATTGCTCTTTTTTTATACTAAAGTTATGATACTTTATCAACAAACACATTTTTCTATATACATTGAATAACCAAAAGTAAGTTTTATCTAAAACTATTACTTTGAAGCTTTTTTGCAGATAAAAAATATTAAATTCGCTATGCTGCTTTGTGAAAATAAACTATATTGTATACAGATATTATAAAACAAGAAAGATAAGATAAAACTACTTATGTATTTGTAAAAAAACTGAAATTTGAATATTGTTTTCAAAAGTTTTTTTTGAATTTCTTTAAATAAATGATTTTGATGCAGCAGATAATTTTTAGAAAACTGAATTATAGTTTATATGTTACCGACAAAGTATGAAACGCCGGCATTCTATAGAATGCATAGGCATTCTATACAATGTCGGATAGTTTTAAGCAAGGTATGAAATATGAAAAGTATTACATTCTTTCCCTAGGCATTGTATATAATACCTATAGGCATTCTATAGAATGATAAATGCTATTTAGGTAAAGTATGAAAAAAACGTCCTGATGAGGTTATTATGTAAATGATGTACGTTTCTTATATATAAAATGTTATTCGTAAAAAATAATGAGAGTGCCATTGAAAAAAATTATTAAAAATGCGTAAAAAAATGAAA